CGGTTCTTATTTCTTTATGGTGGCTTCTTCTTTCTTCTCTGCTGGTTTCTCAGATTCTTTCTTCTTGGTTCCGGGTTCGTTTGGCGTCACCGTCCGCATTGCATCTTTCATGAGTTTTTCTTGGGGTTTCTTCCTGTCTCCTTCCCCCTTCGTCTCCTCCTCAATACTCACCTTGTCCTTCCCTTTCATCAGTCTCATCATAATATCTAATGAGACAGTATTAGAGTTTATCTTCCTCTCGAGATGAACAAGATAAGCCATGATAGATTGCAATACAGACGCAAGATCAGTTTCAATTTCCTCAAAGTGAAATCGTTCTCGCATTTCTTCTAACATTTTATCTTGCTGTTTTTTTTTTTCCTCTCTTCTTCGGAACTCTTCAATCTTTCTTCTTACTTCCCTTAATGTATTTTCTAATTGTCTGACATTCTCCTCCACTATCTCCACAGACAGTTGTGGTTCTACTTTCTTTTCTTTCTCCTTTTCTTCCTTTCCTGTTCCATCTTGTCAAGACCCTCGGCGACATACCGGTCAAGGGTCATTCGCCCTTGCTTTATGAGCTACTCCACTCTCTTACCGATTTCAATCATCTGAACGGCAGTTTCTGCAGCCTGCAACTCTTTTTGTGCACCAAGCAGATTGAGCTGTCCGTGAACGTGTCGTTCAGCTTCTGGACCGGCACCGTGTATCTCACCGAGCAATTGGCAAAGAAAACCAATCAGAGTCTGTCTTCTTGCCTCAATTTGACCACGGGTCTTTACTTCCCCCCCTTCTTCATCAGCGTAGACAGTGAGAGGGATAGGAAAGAAGAAGAGCGGTATGAACTGTGTGAGGATAAAAGCACGCAGACATTTCCAGAGATAATTCATTTTTCCCAGCGTGTAGATGCCGCACAATAAATAAAATTAAAAGACAAAAATAAATTCCACGGCACACGCAAATTCTATAGCAAGAGAAAATTAAACAAATAGAAAGTTCTTAATTAATTTCCTAATCTAACTTTGTTGTCTGTTCTATGTGTGATGAAGTCCTACAACAAGTTTACAGGTACCGCAGCCACGGCCAATGTGATCAAGACAACAACACACTTGTGAGTATGCACAACAACCACAAAACAACCAACAGGGGAGTAGGTGAGCCAACACAACGACACAATCAATGGTTAGCTCCCTTCCTCTTTCGGCTGTACCATCTGCAGAAACAATGCAACCAATGCAAGGCCAGCACTCGTCACTACAGCAATCGTGAAACCGTACCGTCTGCCGGCAAACAAGTGCACATTCAACAGTTCCTCCACAGCAGCATATTATGCATGCCACGTGTCACCCCTGGCATGTCAATGCAGCAGGTCTGCCACATCAGCGTCAAGGACTGAAAGGTTTACGAGGGGGGGATGCCACGTCAGCAGTGCATGTCTGCAACACACACAACACTGGTATGCCACGTCAGCTCTAAGTATGCAGCGCTTCAACAGCTTGCAATTGCAACACAGGTAAAAGCCACACCAGACCATGCCCTGCCAGAATGCCATATCAGCATTCCACGTAGGCAGCCGGCCACATCAGCAGTCCCGATCTCTCTCTTGACAAGCGCCACGTCAGCCTGTTGCCAACGAAGCTCTCGCCGGTATCTCGAAGTCTTCAGTGCAGCCACGTCATCATCTTCAAGGGAGCCTACACGCATGTGCAGTACTCGATGTCTAGACTTGCGGTATAGACCGCGCGCGTTAATAAACGCGTTTCGTTATGCACATGTGGCACCTCCCACTTACCTGGGTGCCACGTCAGCACCTGACAGCAGTTTTCGATGGAGGAGTATGCTCCGATACCAAATTGTAATGAACCCAGTTTAGCAGATACTCATCAGACATCAAGCACAAGAAGTAGTCTCAGACCTGCACAAAGTCTCCAGTTAACGTGAAGTGATATCTGAAACAGTATCTCGTTACCGTTAGACGAAGAGAGTGGAGGGGGAATAGACAGAGGAGAAGATGGAAGAGATGAACAATGATTACACAAACGTAATCCAATCGATCCCCTCTTCTTCTCCGGGGTTCTTCCCTCTCCACATTACCAACCAATATACAATAACAAGTATGATAATCCTGATCACACAGCAGCGCCACGTGGCACTCCTATCTCGTGAAGACCATGAAGACAACAGCAGAATATAGTGGCGACGTCAACCTCAGGTGAGTACCCGATCCCAATCTTCCACAGATCCCGATCTCCCTCCTTTTCGCAACCAGTCACCTCATGTAGACAGCGTGGCCAATGCCACGTCAGATATAGAGACAGGTGGCATGTGCCACATCATCAATGAAGACAGGTGGCAGCGCCACATCAGCAACACAATGTAGGCAGGTGGCACCGCGACATCAGCAATGTAGACCAATGGCATGCGCCACATCAGAAATGCAGACAAGTGGCATGCGCCACATCAGCAGGGTAGACAGGTGGCAGCGCCACATCAGCAATGTAGACAGGTGGCAGCGCCACATCAGCAATGCCTGGCGCACAAAACAGAAAGCGCCAGCATGCTGCCACAACCTGCGTCGTCTTCCACAGTGCCTGCGCACAGCCAGCGTCAAGTCAGCGTCTCGCCAGCACCGTGCCAGCGTCAATGCCAGCGTCCAGTCACAGTCGAGCCAGCGTCCAAGCAGCATAGCAAGACTGAATGTTGACCTCCTGGAGACCAGTCCTTTTGTAGCATTTGACGAGGTTTTCTGGTCTCGGGTCCCTCACCCACAGTTGTACAGATTNGCAAGACTGAATGTTGACCTCCTGGAGACCAGTCCTTTTGTAGCATTTGACGAGGTTTTCTGGTCTCGGGTCCCTCACCCACAGTTGTACAGATTGACTCACAGCCGAGGGCCTGGATTGTGTACAGTTGCAGACTTCCCCTTGGACCTGATGCTGTCCAGGTACCTGCATACAAACAAGTGTGTGCGTCTGACCGGCGGCCTGGGCTGGGTACACTTTGACTTTGACTGTTGGGTCTCCGACAGTTGACTTTAGTCAACTGTATCTCGTCAGGCCCTGAATCTTTACGTGGGGTTCATTTTTCCCCTTCGGCCTGGGTCTGAGTGCGGCCCGGGAGCCCTCAGACTTTCCACGAGGCATACAGCATGGGTTATTGCAGCTGCCCGAATCATCTCTGCAGATAGCAGGTCTCTGAAGGCTGACCTGTCGACTTTCATGAGCGCTCCCAGTAGGATAGCTGTGTCATCCCCTTCAGTGACTTCCAGCGGCGTCTTATCTGTGACTTCCCGGCCCCACCATGTCCAAAAAGCCTGGAGTTGCGGGCATCGTACAAACAGGTGAGTGATAGTCTCCGCTTGGCCACACCCTGCTGCACATAGCTGATCCTGGTGCTGACTCTTAATAGCTAGCCATTGTGCTGTCGGGATTGCCAGATGGTAAATTTGCCACAACAGTCCTCGCTGTTTCTGGTCTGGCAAAGCTGTTAATATAGCACACTGCTCGTTGCTCGTTCCATCTTCGCTGGGTCCACCGACCAAGGGAAGCGTCGGGAAGCCAGTCCCTCTTGGCCCGTCTGTTCCTTAACTCCTCACAAATGTTGATTGGTTCCATCAGCGAATTGTAAATGTTTTTCGTGGTCACTTCTTGCAGCGGCATGGCCTTATTGTGCATCCCCGGAGGTGACCATTGCACGAGGGATCAGTTCTCACGATATTTGAAGGATTTAGCATCACAAATTCACAATCTATAAACAGCTTTGACGCGCGAAAGACTGGCTCGTGCACAGATGAGGAGGCACGGCAATTATTATGAAGGACCGAACTTATCATCATCAGTCACGTCCAGAACTTCCCACGGACCGTAATAGAGAGGGAGAAGTTTGCGTGACAACCCCTCTTCCTCTGAAACAGGCTGTCCCCCGTTGTTTTTAAAACAAAAAAAGGTCGTTCGTATATAGTGTCGACTCGGCCTGGCCTGCCTCCTTTTGCCTCCTCGAAGGACTGAGATTCCACGATCTCTGTGGCCCGGATCTGTTGGTGGCTAGTATGTCCCTGGACCCATGGGGCCTTGGAAACTTCTGGAAGTTGCACTGAGCCTTCTAGGGCCTAGTTTTGACTTTAAAGGCCCTGGGTGCCTCGGTTTGACCTTCGACCCCAGGCGTACCGACCCAAGGACTTTCTAGCGCCTCTTCAGAGGTTGGGGATGTGACTTTTTAGTCTGGACGCTAGGACTTTAACATGGCCAAAAGCTATGACCCTTGGACTAGTTCTGTGCGGAGAGATTGAAATTCAAATCACAATGTAGTCTGAGGTTTACATTTCACAGAGAACCAAGTTGAGTGTGTGCAAACATGCTGTACTCACAGACCTTCTCCTCACTACTTCTCAGTCTGATTGGAAGCGTCCGCTTCCTCTTTCATAAATACCAAAAAACTCTACGAGCCCCCGTGGTTCCACTAACTAGGACCACAGAGCTCAGGGCTAGTCCTGTTCCGGGTGCCACACTTCCCCAGGACAATCGAAAAAGCATTTAATCTACCTACCTCAACGAAAGACGGGTAGCATGAGAGTGAGCTCTGCACTCGTTCCCACATACTTATGACCTCAAAGTTTCAGTGTAGAGATTAAGTGACGTACATAGAAAAAATAAAATAAAAAACAAAAAAGTAATTGACTCGTTCAAGCTCTCGAGATCATATTCACAGGCAATCTTTGCTTCTTGGATGATTCAAGTGTCGGACCACGTTCGGGGGGTTGCCGATACCCCAGCGCTAACGCTGGTATCGGTTCCACCCATTGCCGGCTCAAGATGCCCACCCCTTGTAGCATTCCTCAAGAAGACTGCCTTCTGTGTGGAATTTGAACTTGGTTCTTTACAGCTTTTTTGTCTGCCTAGTATATTTACCTATTTCATGCCTATGGACTGACTTAGATCATACCCTCTTGTTCTACTTCTGTGCTATTGTGCTTTGTGTTCTTTTTCCAATTCTCCTCCCTTCATCATGATGGGGCATCTCAGGGGTCCGGTTTCTTTCTGCAAATATGCACACTGGCATATCCTCCGGAATGTCTCTTCCGGTGGCAGTTGCGATAGACGTACAGGGTCTACAAACTCCAAATTTGTCAGGACCAATTGATCTTTCCTCTCCAAGTTCATCAGATCAAAACGGGTCACTAAATGACTGCTTCATCATCAAGCAAAGGCCAGCCTTTGCGGTATGTTGCCCGTGCCTATTCTATCCATGGATGTCTTTGCCAACTTCTCCACCTGCTTATCTTACATCTTGACACCCCTTCACTTCCCTCCTCCTACTTCAAATCAAAACAGCATCGAAGGCTCAAAAAGTTAACCGTTGCATTTTCCTCCACCCTTTGCTTGATATGTTTGTTAAACTTTCGTTCACTGAGCTTATTGTTAAAAAAAATATATATATACAAATTTATTATCACTCTAGTGACTCTACTACATTATCATTTCAACTTTCAACCTCTCACAAACCAGGGGTGCAACTGGACCAACTTGTTATGTTTGTTGAGCTTTTGTTCAGTGACGTAATTGTTTTTCCAAAAGAAATAGAACTTTGTTATCTCTTGCAATCTCACACCCCGTGCAGCGTCCCGTACCCGTGGGATCACCGATCAGAGTAAATGGGGCGTGGACGAGGATTTGGGTGGGGGTTTGAACCGCCAGGGCGAAACTGGGGTTCTCGCATCAGATCTGAGGGTCTTCCGGGAAACACCGGCCAACAGGGACAATTTCAAAATTGCAAAATTTAGATGACGGAGAGGGGCAGGACATCCGCAAAACCCTACTGCTACACTTAGGGACAAATGTGCAAACTCAATCCTACTTGAAAATTGAATGCAAAAGGTCCGCAAAAAGAAACTAATCTAGCGCCTACTCAAGGTCAGGTTCACGCCGGCCTTTCCGTGGGGGCCAAGGAGAAAAGGGAAACTTTACGCATCCAAATCGGGACAATGAGGCCCGTCAGATCGGTCGGAATCCTCGTCATAAAACGGGGGTGGGAGCGGAGGTACCCAAGTCCAGAAGTTCACTGCAAGAGGTCCCATGTTGCGGGAGAGATCCAGGAACCGAATGGACCCCTCGTACCCCAGCACCAACCTCTGCCAGGAACACGAGTTCCCGAGCCGGCACCAACAACAGTTAACATGGGGCTTCCACGTGGCATGCACTGCAGACCAGGGAAGCATAGTCAGATCAGCGTATGGCAAGATCAATGAGGGGGAAGCAAGCCGATCAATCAACACGAGCCCAACTCCCCCTATATGACACACCTGAGACGGGTTGTAGAAGTGAATCCGATTGGTCTGCAATAGCGCCCGCCGTACATCCGCATCGCAGTAACGCCCGTAGTCGTCGGCGACCGGGAAAGGAGGAAGGTCGCTATGGCGAATCGATGTAAGGTTTCGAGCACGGGCAATTACCCGTGCTCACACTCAAGTTGGCAAACCTCGACTCCATACAAATCTCAACTTGTCCCACACAGACCCGACCTCCTATCAAAATGCAAGTTGATTACACGTGGCAACTCCAATCAGAATTGCCACCTTGACAAGACGGCAATGGCCGGGAGGCAGGGAGATCAGGTGGAACGACTTAGTCTTCACACCCGATGTCACTGGTCGCCTGCGCGTACGCAACAGGTGAGCGGGGAGATTGACACGCGAGGAAAAAGACCGGCATCGATCTCGCACGCGCAATGAGCGCGGGAATTGGCAGTTAGTTAGGGAAAGTGGGCATCGACACACTCATACACTCATGCAGATGTCCAAGACCCAATTACCCTAGGTTTGCACCCATGCGCGCAAACATAACAAGGACAACCACCCAGTCCTCAACCATCCATACATCCATAGACGTTCGGACAGTGAAGCATTCAACATCCATACGCTTCCTTCTGTCCGGCCGAAGGACCCCTGTACAGCATTGATTACTCCATTTTATGGAGGATTGACTGTCAGCTTGCCCTTGTACCCAAAGTCCTCTCAGCTGGGGTGACCCCTGCTGTCAGATCTACGTAAAGCCCAAGATTTTGGGAGCGAAGGATCCCTGTCCCGGCTCAGATGTTCATTGTTGTTCCGCCTTATTTAAGTCCTCTCCAGTAGTCCTAACCCCCGTCTGTCCATATGTGCCATGCTGTTGCCTTCTTCTGAGGTCCTCCCGTTGGCCGGCTATAACCAGATCGTCTGAGATTCTTCTTGCATCTGGGAGGTCTCTCGGCCTGATGCTGTGTCTGAGTTGTGCCAGTTCTTCCACCCCATGTTGAGTCCATTTAGCCATGCCACTTTACCTCTTGCCAGCCAGATCCTGCTGAATTTTTCCAATACTGTCGCTCTTGTCTCAGGACTGTTCTGCACCCATATTCTGACCTTCTTCCATTGGCTTAGAATTCGTTGGAATTTCTAAGTTGCGCTAATCTGGACTTTGCATCTCTGGTCTCCAGTGTGGATTTCGTGTGACCTCTCAATGTGTGTGTGTGCTCAAGGTGACGAGCAGTGTGGCTCAATGCACTAGCCTCTACCACCTCACTCTCTTTCCACGCGTTGCTTGCCCAATGCTGCTTGAAGACTCTGCTCACACAGGCTTCCTCCGCCAACACTAGGTAAGAACCACCGGTCCCTAATGCGTTCCTTCTTCCCGACCTCTTCATACTCCGCCACTCTGCTTCCTGTGCCCAGCTATGGCTGGTGCACACTCACAGCCACCCCAGCTGCTCTGCTCTTCTTCCTCCTCCTCAGGCTGGGCAGCTCGCCATAGCCAAGCTGAGCGCCCAGCTTCCCCTTCCTCCTCCCAGTGGCGCTCTGAGAAACAGCGCCCGCTCAAGCAGCATGACGCCCAAGCATGCACACCGCAAATGACGCTGAGCCTCTCGCTCGACCTCCCTGATATAGCGAGGCAACTTGCCTCTTGGGCGGCAACTACCTGACCGCTCAGCCTCCCAAGCAACCGGTCCCCTCCTCCTTTCGGAGGGAAACGCCATTGCAGGTCTGATATCGTCCGCACAGGTGGTACACGCAGGCTACTTGGACTGGTACCCGCCTTCCTAGGCCTACTGGTTTCTCGGCTGGGCCTCTCAAGCACACAAGTGCCCTGGCGGGTCACACACACACTCAGACAGGCGTGCACTCAGACAGGCACTCAGAAACCAGCAAGCACACACACACAAAGACTTAAAAAAACTCAGCAAGACGTGGGAATCTTAGCAAACCACACATTCCAGCGGCAAAACCCAGAAATCCGCCGTGTTCTCGGTCTGTGTTTTTGCACGTCCTTAGATGTTTCTGAAAGCGATAAAGCGCACTTCTGTGTCACTAAGTGGTCCTCTTGCCATATTTCTGCAGGCTTCTGCCCACACAGGGAATGCTATTTACTATTTAGTATTCCCCAGTAGAAAACGGTGAAAAATAGGTGGTCGGTTAGCCATATGTCCTTGTGGAGACTAGGGAAGGGTCGTGCTGGACCTAGAAGATATCAGTGAGGCAGTAAGGCCAGGGGAGAAATTGCCACTTGTTCTTGCAAGTGGCGTTTGAGGAAGAAATAGGGCAGAGAGTGTGGCAGGACATTTCCATGGGCTATTGTGGCCCAAAGTTGAAGTTTCTTGGCTGCAGCTTACAAAAACTGTCCTCTGATGGTGGATTGTTGACCAAGAATCGCTTGGGTGGGGAGATTTTTTTCAACCCCTAGTCACCTTGTCTTTCTCTTCTTCGACTCTTTGCATGAATTCGATCGGGGTTTGCAATGGATGATGCAAGCACATTTATGGGCATGAGGAGCGCAATATTGAAAGGTAATTAAGGTTGCTTGGGTGATTGTATTGAGCAGGAAAAACAATGGCAATGTTTGTTTTTCCTTCTTTTTCTGAGACTTGGGTCTGTTGTCAGACAATACTGTCAGAGCAACTGGTCTCACAATATTTTCTGATTGGCAAACCCTGTTGTGCAGAAGAGAAGGGTACTGGACTCATCTTCTGGGGTGAACACAGGGATCGAGGTTGTTGGTTATGATTCTGCGGAGCCTGAAAATAATGTCAGTGAAGAAGGGGCAGAGCGGTCAGTGCAAAGCATATTGTGCAACGTCTGCATGGAAGCCCTCAAGGACGCAACATCAACAAATTGCGGTCACATCTTTTGCCGCCTGTGTATCACAGAGGCAATCAAGGCCCAGAAGAAGTGCCCAACATGCCGCAAGCGTTTAACAGCTGCACAAACACACAGGATATATATCTGATCATCTGACATGTACAAGAAACTGCAACAGTCCGACAACGAAAAGTCGTTGAGAGAGGGAATAAAAGCACGGAAAAGGACACGTCCCTGATTGGCAAACCGTGTCGTGCAGAAGAGAAGGGTACTGGACTCGTCTTCTGGTGTGAACACAGGGATCGGGGTTGTTGGTTATGATTCTGCGGAGCCTGAAAATAATGTCAGTGAAGAAGGGGCAGAGCAGTCAGTGCAAAGCATATTGTGCAACGTCTGCATGGAAGCCCTCAAGGACGCAACATCGACAAATTGCGGTCACATCTTTTGCCGCCTGTGTATCACAGAGGCAATCCAGGCCCAGAAGAAATGCCCAACATGCCGCAAGCGTTTAACAGCTGCACAAACACACAGGATATATATCTGATCATCTGACATGTACAAGAAACTGCAACAGTCTGAAGAGGAAAAGTCGTCGAGAGAGGGAAGAAAAAAAGCAAGGAAAAGGACACGTCCCTGGCGGGCGTGGTCATTACCGGGTTCAGATCACCCAGTTATTTCCTTGATCAGGTGATATGTAGAAGAATTGAAAGAGGAAGAGTCACAGAAACAGGGTGTGGGAAATAAGGAGAAGGATATTCCCAGGAGGATGTGGTCATTACCGGGTTCCCAGTCACTCAGTTATTCCCTTGGTTGGGTCACCCAGATTGGCATTGTGCTACTCCATGTTTTTCTGCTCCTGTCCATGCTGTTGTTGTGGTCTTGTCTTTGCTTGCTCATTGCCGTCCCCTTATCAACCAGGTTACAATGTTGTTATCCAAGTATAGAATACAAGAATGGCAACTAATTGTTGTTGTTGTTGCTCCATGCTAATGTCGACCATATCCCGCACTCTCGTCTTTGGCTCACCGATGGCTTGCTTTGTCAGTCTTCTGTTCACCCAATGCACTCGTTTGCAAAGTTGTCTATGATATGCTAGAGTGGGAAGGAATGGCATGCAAGGACTTCTGTCGGACATTCACGGCAGACCTGTACCTGAAAATGTAGGGGCATTGAAATAGCCCCAGGCCATTGATTGAGCACAAGATTGCATCCCAAGAGTTTCATGAACTTTCGACATTTATGGGCGGGTGATGGCCAGTGATTCTTTGTTTTTCTTTTTTTCTTTTTTTTAATCCCCCGGGTGGATGCTAGAGGTGCTGATAAGAGCAGGCACCCCTAGCATTCTCGGGAGGCTCCATCTATTGGTGGGGAGCAGCACCTGCTGGAAACCGGGTCCAGCGTCCGGAGGCCAGTGATTCTATATATGTCATGTTTGCGTACCCTCTGCCACTCCCCGTGGGAGTGGACAGAATGATTTGCTTCTCGTCACTCACGTCTATCCTACTGCTGAGGAACCAATGATGCAACAAGCATTCAGTTGATCAGAGCATGGATTGACAAGATTGTTCTCTCTGTTGTTGGGCTTATGCACTTCTGGTTCTCACTTCTCAGCATTTGAGTTCTTCACAGAGCATTCAGTTTTTGGCGCTTGCATCACATCACATCACATCACAGATCTGTAGCAGGAACCTAAACCCTCCTACTACCCACAAGTAGCTATCCTAGAAGCGGCCACTGCCATCATCACAGCCTGTGCTCTTTCCTAATGTGGTTCTCTTTCCTATCCTTTTAATAAGAGGGGCAGTACCCACTTGAAGTAGTATTTCGTGGTTAACAGTGTGTAAGGCACACTGCATACTACCACACCAGCCTCATAGAGCTCTAGGCAGGTCGATGTACGTTACAACATGATTACTCTTGTGTCTGCTGAGATGAATTCTACACCATTCATAGGCAAGCAACTGAAGGGTTGCTTGGAAATGGACCAGGTTGCTATGAACTTGATTTATGAGAATGATGCGGAGATTAAAGGCTCTTCACTACCGTCAAAATGAAAGAAGTGATGAGGGGAGGGTGGGAGGAGGGGGGAAGAAGAATGGAACATATGTTCTTCCATCTCAATTACGGGGTGGCATTGGTGCATTATGATTGTTGACAATGCAAGGAAAATGAGGAATGTGAATGACAAAATCCATTTAACTTTGTGCTCGAGCTAAAAGCAGATGGCACCACGAGATAACACCAAATAAGCAAGAGCAAAGCACCGCCCTCTTCTCGCCTCCAACACCAATGTCCACAATGGTGCTCTCCTACTTGGCGCTCCACGCCCAGACTACAATCAGACGCCACCTATCGACCTAGACTTCTTATCTACAACAGGTCTTCATGAAGTACAGCAGCCTGATGATGAATGGAGACTCTGAACGACACCGCCTCCTCATCACCACCAGGTAAGCGCCTTCTCACATCACCGCTCCCCTCGTCTTCCCACACACAGTCCCTCACCCAAGGACTTCCGCTCAATCTCCTCCGGCTATGGGGGCTACAGCCTGACTATGGATGTTGCGGCCACGCAGCTTCTTCCTCGCACTTCCCTGCTCGGATCTCATCCAGCAAGCCAGCGCTCCAGCAAGCTGCCGCCGTCCAGCCAGCCAGAATGTGTGAAGCGAGGCTGCCTCACTCCCTTTTGTTTGTGTCTGGCTGGGCGAGTCAGGCTCTGGAAGGGAGGCCTCTGTCCCAATAGCTGCGCCCAGGGCCCTCCCAGAATGTATCCAGGACTCAACTGTAAGAGCTTTGGGCCTCCTACATCTGCATCCGACCAATGTAGGGGCCCGCCCCGTTAGAGACTTTCAAGTTGGCACCCCACTGTCTTGGTCCTTCGCCCGACGTAGGAGTCTTTTAGGATCGGCCCCACCCGCGGTCATCCTGAGGGCACAGGGCGCTTTGTCCTGGGGCAATCCCTACCTAGTGCTTTGGTATGGATAGGGATGGGCCATCGAGCGAGAGAGCTTTTGACTTTGGGGATGTAGCTAAGCTCTCATGTTGGAGGTGGGAAGTCTAGTCGTCAACTTCTTGTTCTTCAACTGGTTATCAGGCAAATGCTCCTTCCAATACTCATGCAATCGAGGGAGGTTTGTTAAGGCCTTCTCTTAAGTCTTGTTCACCACTGTGCACCCTTCGCTTACTTTCACCTACCATTTCCTAAGTGTTGTGAACTTGTGGTCCTTGGTTCTCACATTGAGTTGAGAACCACCCCTCAGCTTATGTTGTGTCACCTTCAAATCGGCAGCCCCCTTCACATCACAGGGGTGACCCTCCCAACTCTTCGTCCCAAAGGGTCACTTTTCTTCTTCTTTTTTTCCCGTCGGGACACGAACACACGTCCCTCATCCAGGTTGGCTCGCAGCTTTCATCGCTATTGGAGTCGGTCGCATAACAAGCCGTCAGAATTCGTTCAAGCACAACACCCATTCCAACTTGTGATAGAAGTCTTTCATTACCCATCTTTCGACCATGCTTGTACACTCCTTAGGCCTTCCCGGGCCCCTCTTCCTACCCGCACACCTTACTTCCTGCTTGTCATTCCAGCAACTCGGTCCTCGGTGAAGACTCGACATAACTGCCTCCATGTTTGATAGGGTCGAGCTTCTTTTGGTGCCGGTCCCTCCTGGCCTCCTGGCCTCCTGGCGGAGGTGGCTCCTATTGGGGGTCATCAAGGGTATTCTTAAGTCAGCCCTCCCTTTCGCTCGATATTCAGAGAAGGTTAAACACCTCCCTCGACTGGCGCTCCCCCAACGTTCTAAGATGTAGGCTGTAGTACTCCTTCCCCTCGTCCAAGCGCAAGTCTTGGATCTCAGAGGTCGGGTCGTCTCCAATGAATCGGCAAAATACCACCCCCATAAACGGGTCTATGGAGGCAAGCCCGAACCCCAAGTTGTTAGCGGAGCCGACTCTTAAGGCAACAAACTCCCGGCTCAGGCCATTCCTTGAGAGAGGGTTCGCCCCAATCTTAGGCGGCCTCGCTTGTCCCTTCCTCTCTTGCTTGGGAAGCTTAGACAAAGTAGAAGCAAAGGGGGCAGAGATTTTGAGTCCTTTAGACAGGGATAGGTGAAGTGGGCATTCGGGATAGATAGGGTATCATTGGGATAAAGGCTAAGTTAATGTCAATTGATCTTCTTTGCCCTCGGAGGGTACCTTCTTCAGAGTTCCTCAGACAGGTTTCCAACATGCCCAACCCGGCCCATTTACTTAGCCTTCCACTCGAGCTCTTCCGCCTTAGATGTCTTTTCCCCATTTCCCTTCAAGACATGACACTCACCTGCACATTTCAAAGAAACATAGCACAAGCCCAGCTAGGGGTCAACACTTGTTCCATCCTACATTCCATGATCCTTTCTCCCGCCTTTCCTTCTGTTCGTTATTTCCTTCCTCCCTGATTCCCCAAGCGGTGTTTGTCGAGTCAACTGACCTTTTCAAAACAAGTTCTTTTTGGTTCTTCCGGTTCCTTCTTGATCACTCCTCTTGGTGACCGATAACCCTTCCCTTGTCCCCTTTTTCTACCAAGTTGGATCAAGCCAACTTTGTTATTTGTCTCCCTAGCAAGGAGTAAGAGGAAGAAGGTTTGAGTTAATCACAAGTATGGAGGGAGAAAAAAAAGTATGAAGAGGATGGTTGAAGTACGGTAAGAGGAGAGAAGAGTAGGAAGACAAAGAAAGAGAGAAGGAGAGAAGAGAGGGAGAGAGAGAGAGAGACTACTCGATACTCCTAACTTCACACTAATCTCTTAATCCAAGCTTCACTTGGACCTCTCTGACTTTGATGCCGCCATTATCCTAGGTGTCGGTGTAGGGCCTCACCCTGTTAGACTTTCGAGCCTAAGTCGACCCATCTGCGGATCCCACCTGGCTCGGCTCCGCCCGCACTCATGCTCAGGGCGCGGAGCCATTCGTGACAGGGCCACCCCCACCTAGTGCTTTGAGATGGGTGGGCATGAGCCATCAAGCGAGAGAGTTTTGACATTGGGGATGTAGCCCAACTTTCTCGCTAGTGGAGGCAGTTTTGATGTTCACTTGCGAGCGTTCATTCCTCAATACTTTGTTGTGTTCTCATACAATTGCTCCTTCCACTACACAGGCAGTCCAAGGAGTTCTTTGAAAGACTTCTCTTCTCTTATGCACAGGCCAAGCGTCTTACTTGGGCCACGCATCCATTCACTAGTGCAATGCTCCTACGGCGTCATCGAGGAACGGGGAAACTCCTTGCTGTCCTCTAGCCGGCCTACGCGCTAGCCTTCTTTGTTTCACACTTCATGCATCATGTTATGTTGTGCCCCTTAGTCGTTTCAGGGCTCCTACCCGCATTCCTATAGAACTTAGCGGTCGTCTCGAATGTCCGACACCTTTGTAAACCTCAGCTATTAGAGTCATATTTTTCCTTTCACAATCGGAGTCGCATGCACAAAGAGGCTCATTCATAGGCAAAGGGTTACACTCACAACCCGCTTTAGCTTCTATCCCTCTTGCCCTTTGCCTCCCGGCCTATCCAGGCATAGTCAAACTCAAGGCATCTCTCAAGGCTACTTACTTACACACCCAATACAAAGCAAACAGATCCAACCCCCATTTGGGGTCAACGCATAGTCCCTCCCACATGCCTAATCTCCATATCCTTAGGTTTTTTCTCATCTCATTTCCTTTCCTCTTTCAAGTCATCCTCTTCGCTTAGTCATGCAATCGTTGTTCTAGTTGAGTCAACTGACCTTTCTTTTACTTGGCAACTCTTTCTAGTCCTTTTTGGACTTTGTCCACCGTCAAGCTCTTCTTTTTCTTATCTTCTTGGCGGCACAAGGGGCCGGCAGCCCTCCCCTTGCCCTCTTCTTCCACCAAGCGAGATTCAGAGTTCTTTCACCGTTTGTACCTTGGCAATGTAACAAGTGAGTGGGGGAAGGGTTAGTTGCATGCCAAGAGAAAAAGAGAGAGGGTAAGGATTGACCTTGGGGTTCGGAAGAGGAAGATAGGAGAATTTGCCGATCAAGAAAGAAAGGAAGAGAGAGAGAGAGAGAGAGAGAGAGAGAGAGAGAGAGAGAGAGAGAGGGAGAGAGACCCTCTTAAGCCTAATCCAACCTACCCTCTACCTGTCCTACCGTCCTACCTATGACTCCTTAATCGATCTGCTGCTTTATATGCCTTGGACCACGACATTGGTTGGTGAGGGAGGTGGAGGTGGAGATGGAAGAAGGTGTGGAGGTACTCGGCTATGGCGGATGGGTGAAGGAGGTGGAGGTGGAGGAAGGACTGAAGGTACTTGGCTACAGTGCATGGGTGAAGGGGGTGGAGGTGGAAGGAGGTGCGAACGTGCTTGGCTATGGTGGATGGGTGAAGGAGTTGGAGGTGCAAGAAGATGCGAAGGTACTTGGTTATGGTGGATGGGTGAAGGAGGTGAAGGTGGAAGAAGGTGTGAAGGTGCTTGGCTATGGTGGATGGGTGAAGGAGGCGGAGGAGGAAGAAGGTGTGAAGGTACTTAGCTATGGTGGATGGGTGAAGGAGGCGGAGGAGGAAGGTGTGAAGGTACTTGGTTATGGTGGACAGGTGAAGGAGGTGATGGTAGAAGAAGGTGTGAAGGCGCTTGGCTATGGTGGATGGGTGAAGGAGGTGGAGGAGGAAGAAGGTGCGAAGGTGCTTGGCTATGGTGGATGGGTGATGGAGTTGGGGGTGAACGAAGGTGTGAAGGTACTTCGCTATGGTGGATGTGTGAAGGAGGTGAAGGTGGAAGGTGTGAAGGTGTCTGGCTATGGCGGATGGGTGAAGGAGGTGGGGTGGAAGAAGGTGTGAAGGTATTTGGCTATGGTGGATCGGTGAAGGAGGTGAGGAGGAAGAAGGTGCAAAGGTGCTTGGCTATGGTGAATGGGAGAAGGAGATGGAGGTGGAAGAAGGTGTGAAGGTATTTAACTATGGAGGATGGGTGAAGGAGGTGAAGGTGGAAGAAGGCGTGAAGGTGTTTGGCTATGGTGGATGGGTGAAGGAGGTGGAGGAGGAAGAAGGTGCGAAAGTTTTTGGCTATGGTGGATGGGTGAAGGAGGTGGAGATGGAAGAAGGTGTGAAAATACTTGGCTATGGTGGATGGGTGAAGGAAGTGGAGGAGGAAGAAGGTGCTTGGCTATGGCGGATGGGTGAAGGAGACGAAGGTGGAGGAAGGTGTGAAGGTACTTGGCTATGGTCGTTGGGTGAAGGAGGTGGAGGAGGAAGAAGGTGCGAAGGTGCTTGGCTACGGTGGATGGGTGAAGGAGGTGGAGGTAGAAGAAGTTGTGAAAGTACTTGGCTATGGTGGAGGGTGAAGGAGGTGGCGGAGGAAGAAGGTGTAAAGCTACTTGGCTATGGTGGATGGGTGAAGAAGGTGGA